AGGGCTGTGGCATTCCCGGGATGAGGATACCCCGGGATCAAAACCTCCCCCTGTCCTAAGGATTCCATCACTCCTGGAGGGACTGGAGCGGGATCTCACCTTTTCCTGCTGGCCAGGGCCGCAGAGAATATGGGATACACCACGGCTTTGGAGGGAGAAGCTGGAAAAAACAAGTGGAATTTTGTGGTTTAGGCTCATTTTCTGTTGCAGGACACACGGAAACAGCAATTCCAACACCCACGTGGCTTCCCAGGGGCCAAACCCACCGGAATTCCCGTTTTCTTGGCTACTAATTGAGATTTTTAATCGGGAGGTTTCTCCACTTCCCGTAATTTTGGCCCAAACAGCCCAGAAAAACTGGGAAGCAGCGAGTGCGAAGTTACAGCTGAAAACTGCAAGTTTCGGGATAAATTCAGCAAAAACTTTGGGAATATTTATTAATTGGGAATATTTTTGATGATTTTTGACGATATTTTTGATGATTTTTGATGATATTTTGATGATTTTTGATGATATTTTGCTGATTTATTACTTGGGAACGTTTTTGCCCCGGGGTGTGAAAAGTTTGGGGTCTGTGTTGTTTGATGCTCATTTTTGACTGGATTCCCAAATAAGGACCCCTCAGGAATTACAGGAACGTAGGGAAGCAGAGGACTGGCTCTAAAGCTTCCCCAAAGAAACATTCCATGGGGCGTTTTCCAGGGAACTAAAGATACCTTGGGAATGTCAGCAGTGGGAAAAGAGTGATGAAAATCCCAATAAGTAATAAAAAACCCGACAGCTTCCCGGAAATCCGGGATTTTAGGGGGCCAGGACACTTCTTGGGAAAGGGCCCAGCGGGGAAATAACACCGGGAAAACTTTGGGAATGAGGATTTGATCCAGAGGCGGAGGCAGCAGGAAGCACAGGGAATGTCATTCCTGGGGACAAGGAGCTGGGAAAAGGGGAGACTTTAGCAACGAGATTCCAAAAGTGGAGGAATAAATTCCCAAGTGGAGCGAAACTAAAGGGAAAGGGAGGAAAAAAAACCCCTCAGGAATGTTGTTGATTCCTTCAAGGAACAGAATAAGGGCGGATGTGCCAGGAAAAAAAGTGGGATAAGAGGCAAACAGGGGTAAATCCCGACCTGGGAACTCAAGGGATCCAAAGGGAATAAAAAAAAACAAGGGAAAGGTGGACGAAAGACCAGGAAAACCCCCGGGAATGGCGAGAGGAAAACAAAGGATTCCAAGGAATTGAACGTGGTTTTATTCCGACTGTTTATGAAAGGATCAGTTGGGACAGAAAGGAGGGATGAAACCCCACAGAGGGAGGAATTCCACAGGGGGTGAGGCTGGAATTGGGAATGCTGCCTGTTTTTAACGGGGAGAACGTGGAAAAAAAGCAGGGAATGGGGGGAAAACGCAAGGAGTTCAACCTCTGGCACCGGAAGAGGCAGCAGGGAGAGAACAAAAGGTCGTTTTTTCCCTGATAAAACGACATTTAACCAAATAACACCTCCACAGTTGTTTAATCCTTGCTGTTATCCGTCGGAATTCCCGCCGGGAAGAACAAGGAGCGCCTCTGTCCGTGCAACTGCGGGAGTTTGGGGATCATTTTTGGCACGGAGGGGGGGGAAAAGTTTAATTGCAGAGACACCTTTGTGCTAAAAAGGGGCAGGTCGGGATAAAAAAGGGGGAAAAACTCAACAATCCAGGGAAAACTCGGGGACAGGGATGGGATGGGGGGGGTTGGAACTGTGGAGGAATTGTGTGGGAATTAAGGGGGGGAAGAGAGGAAAAATTCCCTTCCTGAAAATTGTAAGGATTTGAGGGGGGGGAGGTTGTTTGGGAATATCCCACCGGGAAAAATAAAGGAAGGAGTCAAATGCCTCAAAGTCTGGATGGAAAAGGGGAAGCAGGAAGATTCAGGGAAAGGATCCTGTGAGGAATGAAGGGGGAAAAATGGAATTACAGGTTTCAGGGACGGTGATTTCCCAAATTTTCCCGGGGATGGGCAGGTTAGAGGGATAAAAGGAATTCCCCCGGGGATTAAAACTGAAAGGAATCCATGAAATTCCCCTCATTTCATTTATTATCCAGCTTTTTAAACACTGGATTGTGGGACAGCAGGGAATTCAGGGCTGATCCCGCCGGGAAAAGCAGGAGAAGACATTCCCAAAGATTTTGCTGCCTCGTTTTCCCCCAGCACAGGAAAACTCCTGGATGAAAGCGGGAGCAGGAACAACCCAACTCACCCTGTTTGTTCCCTCTGGGGGGAGATTGGCTGGACAGGACGACACAATCCCGGGATTCCCAGCCTGGAGAGGAGCTGAGCCCAGCAGCACCCTGGAAAAGAACACGGGGGGTTTTTAGGGACAAAAGGAAAACTTGGATCTGAGCTGGGACAACGGCTGGATTTGATGGTCCCAAAGGTCTGTCCCGAGCAAATCCCAGAGGAGCTGTGGCTGCCCCTGGATCCCTGGGAGTGTCCAAGGCCGGGTTGGAGCAACCTGGGATAGCGGGAGGTGTCCCTGAACATGGAATGGGATGGGATTGAAGGTCACTTCCATCCCAAACTATTCTGGGATCCTGTGACTCCATGGAGTTGGAGGAAGTTCCAGGCTGGGTTTAGAGCCAGAGCCCTTGGAGCACATTCCAGAGCCTGAAGGGGCTCCAGGAGAGCTGGAGAGGGACTGGGGATCGGGGCCTGGAATGACAGGCC